CCGTCTCAAGATCCTTCACATAATCACCTCTGCCAAGTCCCAGGCGAGGGAACATATTTACAGGGTCTGGGGATTAGGGCGTGGACATTTTAGGGGCCATTATTCAGCCTCCAACAGAAGTAGATATGGGAAAACACCCTCCCTGGTTCCTCCCCCATTGGCCCACCCACCTCTGCAATCCACTCCCCGCCCTCCTCCACCCTGCTGTGCGCCCTCGAGGGGGCCTCTGTCTTCAGCCCCATCCGGGCCCACCTGCCCTCTGGACTCCGGCTGGGGCCAGCCAACAAGGGGGACAGGAACTCTGACAATGAGAGGTGCTGGCTGTCGAGTAGCTCCCGTCCAGGGCCCCCTGTCTCTTGGGGCTCAGGTGACACAGATCCTCTCCCGCCCCTTGACACGGAGGGGTGTGTATTAGTTTGCTGGGGCTGCCGTAACAAACGACCACTAACTGAGTGGCTTAGAACAACAGAAGTTTATTCTCTCACGGTTCTGGAGGCCAGAAATCTGAAATCACGGTGTCGGCAGGTTGGTCCCTTCTGAGGCTGGGAGGATGGATTTATTCCAGGCCTCTCCCATTGCTTCTAGGGGAAATATATATATATGTGTGTGTGTGTATAAATATATATATTTAAATATATAATATAAATGTAAATATATATATCACATAGATTATAATCTTAAATCCTAAGAACTACTCATCCTGGGAGATTCAGTTTTCTTTATTTTACAAACTTTATTTTGCCCGAGGCCACCCCGCTCACAGGCGCCAGAGCTGGGGTTCAAACCCGCCCAGCTGGCCCCAGAGCGGGAGCTCCTGGCCCGGTGCCACCCCTCCAGGCTCTGTCTCTGGGCTGAGAACTACGATGAGAGGGCAGAGCACCACCTAGTCTGACCTCGGCTGGGAATGTGCGCATCCAGCGACTCAAAACTTTAGCCGCTCTGGGCATATGTCCACGAATGAGCGCGAGAAGGCCTCGAGTCGTCATCGGCGGGTGACAAGTGACTCTTAGCGAGTAGGCGAATTCGCAAAGATGGAATCCGCGGGTAGTGAGGGTCGACTGTCCTTGTTTCTCTGTGCTGTGTTTCTGGTAACCTGGAAGTTAGTTCTAAAGGCGTGATGGACAAAAAGAAATGGGTCTACAAAACTAACAGGAGGGCTGGCGGAATAAAAGGCAGGGACCGTGAGTGGGCTGTGCGAGTCATGGGGCGTCACTGTCTCTGGGGCTCAGAGATCGGAACCTGCTGCCACTGCCAGGATTTCTACCATTAGAACTGCCACTCCCACCCCCAAAACTGGTGACCAGGCTCAGTCCAACCAGTCCTGTGTGTCTTAACTTTGCTCTGGCAAACAATGCTAGAGCCAATGGTGGGCTGCTCTCCAAGCCTCCACCTCCTCCTGCTGGGGGATATTTCTGGAACTCAGAGTTGACCCCGTGCCTCCTCTGCTCACAGCCCTCCCATGGCTCCCCAGCACCCTCCGGGGAAACAGACTCTTCAGTGTGGTGTTGGAGGTCTGGACTCTCGAATCTCAAATGTCCCGATCCCCATGTGACATCCTGCATCCAAATCCCCCTCTCCCCCAAGCCTCTGCCCCAATGTCCCCTCTACCCAGAATGCCCTTCTCTCGTTGCCATGGCAACCATTCTGGTCTCCCAGACAACCCCTCTCAGGTTCTGGTGGCTCATCTCCCCTCTCTGGCTCAGGGACCCAGGAAAGGGAGAGAGAGGTCAAGCAGCGAGTGTGTGCGGCTGAATACCTATGGCCATGAACTTCCAGGAAGTGAGGAGGGATCCGGCAGGGGGAGGGGGGCCTGCGGGGGAGGGGAGGGAGGGGACGGGCCCTGACCTCTGAACCCTCCCCCAGAATGTGACCCTGGCCATGGCCGTGTTCACCATCCTCGCCTCCATCTACTTCTTCAACAAGGTGAGTGGTCCAGGGCGGCGGTGGCGGGCTGGGTCTCCGTGCCTTTGGTCCCCTTTTTATCGTCTTGGTCTCTCTTTCTCTCCCGTGTCTCTGTGTCTCTCTCTGTCTCTCTTCCTCTCTTAGGCTCAGCAATGAGGAGGCACAGGGTCCCTGGATCCCAGAGCCCTGCCTTTCGCCTACCATGACTCTGCCTCCGAGACCAAATAAATGTGACTGAACCCGCACAGCTTGCTCTGTCTCACTGCCCCGCCGGTGCACAGCCTTGGCCGGCTCCGTGTGAGGGCCAGGCCTCTGGACCAGACCCCGATTCCTGGGTCTGAGGGAGGAGAGGCTGGAGCCTGGACTCCTGGGTCTGAGGGAGGAGGGGCTGGGGGCAGGACTTTCAGGTTTAAGGCTCAGGGCCCAGAATCTGAGCTGGGTTTTGAGGGTTAAGTAGGAGTCTGTCAGGACATTTAGAGACGATGAAAGGACATTCCAACTTTGGGTGCAAGAGCACAGAGGAGAGAAAGAGCAGGGCCGATTCACCTGGTACCAACACAGACTGCTGGGCACTTCAAATTCCTTCCTTCTCTCTGGGCCCTGGTTTTCTTGTCAGTCAGACAAAGACTCAAAGGTGACAGTCTTTGTCCAATGGGCCCCAGAGGGCCATGGCAAGGACGGCCTGAGATCAAAGACGTGAACGGAATCTGTAAGCTGCAAAGGGTCTGTCCTTATCATCTTCATTGTCATATTGTATCAACATGTCTTTCTCTTTTCTTAGCAAACTCCTATTCAACCTTCAATACCATGGTCAATGCCCTTTCCTGTAGAAGCGTCCGGACCCCCAGACAGAGAGTCTGTTACCGGCTCCCTCGCTCACCGCCTCCTCCCCACCACTGCCTCCATCTCCAGTAGGTGGAACGCCCCGGGTGACACCCAGCCTTTGGTTGAGTTTCATCCACTGTCTCATCTGATAAGAAACAATTTCATTTCGACTCAAGATCTGAAAAGGCAGTGTCTGGATAGGATGACCAGACATCTGGGTTTCCCGGGAAAGGCGTAGCCAATTCCGATTAGGAACGGATTTATGGTCTCACTGTGGTTTCAGCTCGTGAATTACAAACACTCTGGGCTCCTCCAGCATCACCCGTAAAAGCGCCCCCCTTCGTTCCCCAGCTGACTGATTTGGAGCTAGACTTGCTTATAGGAGGCCTTGGTTGCAAAACTCTGAACAGCCACACGGGGGCGGTGTTGGCCTATTTTCGCAGCTGGAAGTTGGTCCGCGGCTCCAGGAGGGAAGTTGGTTTAAACCGTAATTCTGGGACCTGGTGGGGGGAGCGGTCTTTGCTGCGCCCTCAACCCCCTCCCTGCCTGGGCTTCCTCTTTCCCTGGACTTCTCCCCCGTCCTCCATCTCTCCTCTAGTCCTCTCAGGGGTCTTGCTATACCCTGAGCTGACTCTGTCCTGCCCTGCTCACAGCTCTCCTGCGGCTCCTCAGCCCACTCTGGGACCAGAGGCCCAGCCCCTCGTTTGTCATCGGAGGCTGTGTGTCACCTGACTCCCTCCAGTCTTCCTTTTTTATCTCACCCACCTCCTACACCCCCTCCGTGGTGTATCCTTAACCACATGTAACTCAGAGATGGCAAAAAAAAAAAAAAAAGTCATACCCCAGGGCCTTTGCACATGCTGTGCCTGCTGCCTGGAGCGCCCTCTCCACCTCTATTTTGTGTCAGCTCCCCCTGGATGGCATCCTGGAAATCTCTCCCAATTGGAGTGAGTTGGCCTGCCTCCCCCTCCCACCCCGTACTACTCTCCCCTCCCGTGTCCTTGGTGGCTGTAACTGGGAGCTTGAGGGTTGGCGGTGCACAGAATAGGATCTGACTCCTGCTGGCCCCCAGCTTGAGTCTTGGCTGTCTTCGCGTCTCCCTGGACCCAGGGTTTTCAACCACTTAGTGCTGGGTTTCTCGGTCCCCTGGGAGCTATCAAGTTGCATTTTCACAACCACAGGCACTTGGAGATGGATGGGGCTCAGCGGCTGCCCACGGGAACCCCTGGGGAGCTTTTGAAACTCCCAGAGCCCAGCTCCACCCTGGCCCGCTTAAACCGCAATGCCTAGGGATGGGGCCCGGGCATCCATCGGGTTTTAAAAGCTCCCTTGTGGAGTCTAATGCACAGACAGGGTGAGGAGGCATGGCTGTAATGTGTTTTCCAAAGACAGAAGAGACAGATTTTAGTGCATTTCTGCAGGAGCTCCGTGGATACAGCGGGAGATTCAGAATGTGGAGCAAAAATTAACCTTTAGTTTGGAAACCTTTGAAAAACAAAGACAGCAAACCAAGGCGTCCTGGTGCGTGTGGGACTTTCCCAGTTTTAGCCCCAAAAGCCCTGCATCCCGGGAATCGCTCCGTCTGGAATAGCTGGGATGGTAGGTCACCCCAGTTCAAATTCCTAGCCCATGTCTATGTTCCTGTCTTGAGATCCAGGCCCAGGTCTCTCTCTCTCTCAAGACTGTTTCTCTCTGCGTCTCTGTGTCTCTGTCTCTCTCTCCGTCTCTTTCTCGCTGTCTGTCTGTCCCTCTCCCCACTCATCCTCTCCTTCAGCCCGACGCCAGTTCTGCCTCCATCTGTCGCCAGAGCTCTCTGTGTTCCCGTCTCTCGCTGGGTCTTGGTCTCCATATCTTTTTCTGTCTCGTCCCCCACTTGGTCCCTCCTGGCAGCCTGGTCTGTCTCTCACCTCCGCCCCCTGCCTCGGCCTCCGCCGCCCGCGTCTGTGTGATCCCATCCCGTCTGCGTCCCAGCCCGTTTCTCCCTCTGCCCTTCTTCCACTCGGCCTGCTTTCTCTCTGGGTCTCTGTCCCCCCCTCTCTGGGTCCCTGTCCCCCTCTCTCTGGGTCCCTGTCCCCCCCTCTCTGGGTCCCTGTCCCCCTCTCTCTGGGTC